CAGGTCGCTGTGCATTTCCTTCTGGGCAGACCTCCCCTGAGGGTTTTCCAGGTACCCTTCCGGCCCATTGCATCCAATCCAGGTTTGTCTGAGGCGGGCCCTTACACGACCTCCTCTTCACAGAGGATGGCTCCGGGGCCCAGAGGAAGTTGTGTGTCTGCCCCATCAGAAGTCCTACAGCTAGCAAGTTGGGGTGAGGTCGAAACTGCTCTTCGCTGCAGTGAGCTGCCCGCTCAGCAGGGACCCATGGCCCCATTCAGATAGGTGGCAGAAGGCAATGCTGCCCAGTCCTGGGCCGTCTTTGTGACCACTGATACTTCAGCTGCTGTGTCCACCCATCTCACGGAGGGGCTCCTGGGTGACTAACCATGAGTTAGTCAGTTATGTTGTCAGTCCAACCAGGGCAGCCCCAGGAGGGGACAGATCACCCAGCAGTTCGGGAAGCCACGGGAGGAATGCGTCTCAATGTGGTCTTCATGTCTGCAGTCAATCTCCAGCACTGAGCTACGTCCTTAGCTTTCCCTCTGAAAGCAATGGTGTGTGTGTGGGCGTGTGTGTGCACACACGTGTGCACATGCTTAGAGAGAGAGCCTGGGGAAGAAGGTGCTTGGGGAAGACTACCCAGTTTCTTCTCTCTGGCTTTGTTTCTACTGGTTACTGGGAGGGACTTTCACCTTATCTCTCAAAACTTTGGCGGCAAAGTGAACCAGATGCACCCAGGTGCGGTGTTGACCGGACAAGCTGCCAGGGAAGTGTTTCCCTCTCCTAGCCGACGCCAGGGAGGATGGCCATTTATTGCCTCATCTCCAACGGCCGAGACTGACTGTCCGCTCCGTCGAGGGCGGAGGCTAAGTGACGAGGAGGCAGCTGTGTAAGACCAGCGGCTCTTCTTTCGCCGGCCGCCGTTTGTCTTCCCCGCATGCCACGCAACAGGAGGGTCACTTCGCTCCAGCCTCGCCGACAACTCTCTCATTTAGATTTCTGTGTTCTGCCAGAAAGCCCATGGCTGGAAATTAAAACTCGCTGCCTATTCATTCATTTATTTTTATTTTTAACCCACCGTGGCAATTGCATGGGTGTGCTGAAGAGGGTTAGGTCTTGCCTCACGGGTTTCGGTCGAGGCCCTAAGTAGTCACTGGCCTTCTAGCGGACATGGAGATGGGCCTCGTTAGGGAACCGTGAGCACAGGATGCAAGACGAGGGCCCCCTGGGTGGAGAGGTGGGGGGTGGGCAGGTATGTGAGGGGAGGGGGAAGATGCGTGTGTTAGACGTAGGGTGAGTTTGTGGAGGGTTAGTCCACTCACTGAAGAGTTCAGTCAGAACGGCCTAAAAGCAGGCACGCACCAAGGCTGAAAGTGCCTCCTGAACCAAGGGTCTCACACCATCCTTGCATCTAGGCTGACTCTTTGGTTTGGGGGTTGTTTTGCTTCAATTGGTCCTCGGGTACATAGAACTACATTAACACATAACCCTTAGAGAACACGTGACCCGGCAATCCCAGCGAGGTCAGTGCCCTGGGAGAAGAGAGCAGTGACACACCAGCGTGTGAGCACACAGTGGGGCAGGAAGCTGCCCTGCACCTCGACACACGCACGAGCCCAGAGCACATTATGCTGGGCGAAATTTGTCCACCACAGACGGGTAGCTGTGATCATTAATATTCACCTTAATCCCATAGGACCCAACACCTGGTAGATGACGTGTCTGCGGCACGGATCAATGAAGGAAAGGATAAATGCGTGTGCAACCTTTGGGAAGGAGAACCGGTGCTCCACCCGTCTCCGAAGAATGCTTTCCCGTTAGCCTCCTAGGCCTGTCTTTCTCCGACATGGCACCCACACCTCTGGCCAGGGCTTACCTGTAACTGGGGGGCTCGGAGGGTCCCTTGGCTCTGAATCATGGAGGGAGGGGACATTCAGACTCTCTAGCCTTTCTGCTGATGCCGGCCTGAAGGAAGGACCACCCCCCAACCACAGATTTCTTCTTCTGCCCGCCAACAGCTTCCTAAGATGGCACTGGCTTTAGAGGCCCCTTCCGCTGGAGGCTCGTGATCTCTGACCATCCTCCTCAGGAGGGTCCTCAGGAGTGGGTCCTGGCTTGCACCCAGCTATGAGACAGCACTGGTCCCTGGCCACAGACTGCCTTCCCCAAATTGGCTTTCATGCCTAGTCCACTTTGTCCTAGACACCTTTTAGGAACCAGACAGGTAGGAGCCAAGGATGACAAAAGGGGAGACAAGCACTTGGACAAGACTGCCCCCCCCCACACACACAAACACACACTCCAGTTCTGTCCTCCCAACAGTCCTGGGTGCCCTGAGTGGAGCCCCTGCCTTCCCCTGAGACTTCAGCGTCACCAGCCTGCCCCTCCCCATGATTCACACAAACAGGCACTGGCTGGTGGAGGCCTGCATGGGAACAGAGCTCTGGGCTGGGAGGCAGGAGCCCGGAGTTCAGACTTGACCTTAGCTCCTCAATGGCTGTGGTTTTGTTTTTAGCCACATTTGCTCTGGGAATCTCAGGGTGTGCCCTCCTGCTCTGTAAAGTGGGGGTCCTAGGGCCCTTCCAGGAAGCCTGTTGTGGGACCCAGCAGTGGGATGTGCACCTGGGAGGTGATCCCAACATCACGCTGGTCATTTTAGACCTCCAGGGGCTGAGCAGTGGCAAACTGCCCTGCCGGCCGAGGAGCCGCTTGTCAGTATGCGCTAAAAATAAGTATTTTCCTGCTCTCCTGAGCTTGGTCAGCAGAATGGAGTGGCGCTGGCAGACCTACAAGTGCTCCCACGGACCTGTCTTGTGGACAGCCCCGGTGGATCCGCTTACCGGGAGCAATTTAAGAGGCAAACAAAACATGAAAAGCTACTCGGAATTAACAATGGGCCAGATGGTAATGCTAGTTGGAAGCAATAAAACATGATAAATAGCTTCCTGCTGCGACTCCTGATCAATTTCAATATTTAATAATTCCAACGCCACCCCACCCCCTCATCTGGCCCCCTCCATGGGATCCTGCGGCGACTCCCTGCGTCTAACAGAGCAAACACCTCTCCACACTTTGGAGAGCAGAAAGTGCCAGCACTCGGTTGTCACGTGAGCACGCTCAGGCCTCGACACGACCATGACTCTGCCAGCTCCTCCTGCAGGCGCCCTAGCGCCAGCCTCTCCCGGCTCCCAGGGAGTCTGAGGCCGGCGCTGCCCACGACAGGAACACCACGGATGCCCTCGTCCCCTCAATTCCATGGCTGGTGGTGCTCCCCGAGTTTCTCTTCCGCATCCCAGAGGGGACGTTGTAAGGGGTGGGGGTGGGGCATCTCACTGGACCCCAGTGAGGACGGTAAAGCAGCCCACCGGGAATAGGCCATAGCTCCTCTAGCCACGCCTCTGCCCCTCCCTTTCCTCGTCTGTTCGGGAGACGCTGACGGCCACCTTGCAGGAAAATTCTCCAGGCCGAGGGAGGGTCCAGCAGGGTGCTTGGCCCACTTAAGCCCAGGAACACCATTACCGACCATCATCACCCTCAGTACTGTCTGCCAACAGCCTCGCTATCCAGCAGGAAGCCAAGCCCAACATATGTGTGGGCGCCCACCCCCTCAGGGAGGGCCTGTGCTTGGGAAGCTCTGGCAGCAGCAAACCAGAGGTCAGGCCTGGATCAGGCTAGTGGAGGGGGCACCCCGCTGGACACTGAAGTCACCAGGGTGGGGCAGGATGTGGCAGGAAGCACCCCACTGCTGGACAGACTGGCTCCCAGGTTCTCCCTAAATGCCCACTGATGACAGTGTCACAAGAGGGGTGCCGTTAGACGGAGCACCGCATGCTTCCACGTCCAGCCTCACAAGGAGAGCGGGTATGGCTCGGGCCATCTTACAGATGGGAAAACAGAAGCTAGGAGGTGATTCCGCTGGCAGGAAACAGTGCGGCCAAGACACATCGGGGTTGCCCACACTCTCCTTTCATGACCCAATGCCCCCAGAGTCTGGGAGCCAGCGGCTTTCACAGGAGGCAGCAGAGTTGAGGGAACCGGGGCGGCCACCCTGGATGTTCTTGGTCACCTGAGCTGCACCTCCCTCATCCACAAAATGAAAATCATGATGACCACTGCACTGGCGCCCAGGGCCCTTAATGAGATTAACACACATGGCAGGCCCTCTGAACGTCCGGATGGGCTGCCCAGGTGGCAGTTGGGGTGGCTACCACGCTGGAGAAAACCACCCTCGGTGAGGGAGCACGGGCGTCCGCAGTGGCTTCCTCCATCGGAGCCCTTCTCTGGCCCGAGAGGATCAAGCTCAAATGGGGACATGGTGTGGGTCTGCGGTGTGCTGGGATGCCACAGCTCCACCAACCTCATGCCTGCCCGCCTCCCTGCTCTTTTTATGCCAGCCATTCTGAATGACATGGGGCAGGGGGCTAGCCGGGGCAGCCCCCTCCCCTGTTAGAGGGGTCCGTCCAGAGGGGTCTGGCCCAGCTGTGCTCAACTGCTTATCCCCGACCTGTCTAAGGCAGCACAGCCAGCCCTTTCCCAAGAAGCCTTTCTTGACCCTGCCTCCCCTTAAGGGGGTGGGGGAGAGAGGATCCTTTTTGGTCCCTACACCCTCCGTGTGCTTCCTGCCATCCCAGCATGCACCACACTTGGCTAACGTTCTCTTAACTGCTTCTCGAGTCCTGTAGGGCGACAACCAAACGCTGTTCTCTGCGATCCACCCAGCGCGGGCACAGAGCCTCTGCTCAGTTTGCGTTTGCTGAACGCAGAACACATGGAGCCAGCACCTGAAGCCAAGATGAGGCATTCTCCCGGTGGATTTGGGATCAAGGCAGACGGTGACCTAGTATTCCATCTCAGATCATTTCGCGCAGGGAGAGATGTGCAGGGCTGAGAAGATCCTCTCCTCTTACCCCCACCCCCCATCATGGTCCTTCAACAAGACGGAATAGCAAGGGCCCCACTCACTCCTGGGTTCTGGCTTCCCACCAGGGCGTGACAGAGGGAGGCCCGGCCTCAGGTACCTGAGTCCCCGTGGTCCAGGGTCATGGAGCTCCATCTCCTTGTGATGTCGATGTAGAGAATATCCACCGCGGCCATGGACAAGCTGCTGCTGCTGAGCCTGCAGTTCCTGCCAGAGATGGGAAGTGTCGCCTTTAGACTGGGGCCCTCCCACTCCCTCCAGCCGCAGGACCTCTGCCTGACCTGTGCTCCTGGCCCAGAAGGCGCCCTCCTTTCTCACCGTTGGCAACTAGGGAATGGCAGGGGAGAAGGCTGAACATTTCAGGTGAGGGTAGCTCACATGGGCACCAGGACATTCAGCCATCCGGGTACTGGGCGGGGGTTGGGGCTTGGGGGTGGAGGTTGGAAGGAGCAGGGCCTTCAGGCGGCAAGCCTGTCGCATCACCTGGCCCCGCCACTGAGGAGCTATGCAGCCTGGGGTTGAGCCATTTGACCTTCCCGATGCCCAGTCTCCTCGCCCAGGCACCAGACCCGTCTTTGTTGGCGTCCCCGCGTGCCAGCCTGTCCCCACACATCTCAATTTAGGTCCTCACCAGCTCCGACAGGGAAATGAGAATGCCACATTTCAAAAACACACCCTCTGCATACGTCTTCATCTCCATAGTGATTGTCTCTGGGAGGGTGCGGGAAGGCTGGGCTGCAGGGAGCGGCCCTCGGACGCCACCAGGACAGGCTAAATGAAGCTCTCTTACTCCACCCCGGGGCAACTCCCCACCAGAAACACCCACTCCAAAAGCAGCCGCACGAAGCCCAAGATTTACAGACCCCCTGGCAGGGGAGGGGTCCTATGGCCGGGGAGGCCTTGGCACCCATTTCTGATTTTTGGAGGGAGTAGGGGCGGGCCTCTGAGCTTTGAGTGGTCGGCATGCTTTGGTGCCGAAGTTCTAGCCTGTCAGCTGTTCCGTCCGATGGCAGCAGTGGTGCTTCCTGTCCAAGCCACGGCATGTATGTTGAGAATCATCTTTCTTCCTCACTTTGCGTTTGGTCTGGAAGTGTGGGGAGACAGTCTGGTATACCGAAAAGAGCATGCAGGAGGGCACCAGAAGAATCAGGATTGAAATACTGGGCCCTGCTCCTTCCTAGATATGTGAATTCAGACAGTTACACCTTCCGAGGCTGTCTTTCCTAGACTCCAGAGTGAAGATATTCACATTACTGAGGAGCCCGCGTACACAGTAGGTGCGGAACCACGGTTAGCTCTCTTTTCCTGTGCTTTCTTCCAGAGATGCAGCCATCCAGGCCTGCGGCTGGCCTTTCAATGACTGACCCTGTCCATTCTGGAACACGAAGACCACAAAGCACCTGGCTCGCTGTTACCCTGGAGCCAGCGCTGGGTTGGTCAGGTGTCCAGAGGCAATGTCCTCCTGAAGAGCATTGGGCTGAGAGGTGAGTCCCAAGGGGGCTAGGTTTACTCTGGGATTCTGAGAACGAGACCTTTGGGCCAGCTGTCAGTTGGGCTGAGCCACACCCACGTGGTTTTTGGCATCTTCAATGTGTCCTTGTCCGCTGCCCCAGCTGATGACAAAGTGTGGAACTTTGATTTCCCATTTTCCACCCACCCTTGTGTGAACAGGTCCCTTAGGAAGCTCACAGGCCAGGAGGTGGGTATTCCAGAAGTCCTCCTCCAATCCCACAGGCACCCCTAACACTGGGGGCTGGGTGGGTGCCTCACATGGGGCCAGAGGAGGCTGGGGCCTCCTATGCTAGTGGATAGGCCCTTTCTCTCTGGCTCCCTGCTCCCTACCTTTCTCCCCTCCCGCATTTCCCAGGCCATCCATTCACATCCTGCACCTTCCGGGGTTCTGGGTCTGTATTTCAATCACAAGTCACCATGGCAGACTTTAAAGCACATCAGCACACAGTTACTGAGCCCCAGTAATAACATGTCAGCAGACGTGAAGCTTTTCACGTTGCCTGTCACCCAGATGGCTATCTCTATTGGGTTCTGCCGGGGATGAGGTGCCAGTCACTCCCAAAGTATTCAGACAATCTGCACTACTAATTCCCAAAGCTAGGTGGTCAGGAATAGCTACAGATCTTCTCTAACTACCATGTCCGTGTCCCCTGCTTCATTGCTGGACAGGAGCTCGGTCTGGCTGGGGCTGGGAGGAGTTAATGGGGTATAAGAAGGGAAACCCAGCTAAACACGCAGTTATTTTATTTCATGTTGTGACAGGTAGAAAAGAGAAGTGCCAACCTTTAGCAGGAGCCATAGTTTTTTACTCTAGCGAATTCTCCATTTATCCACTCTCCAAGAAAACCCATCCTCCCTAGTCATGCCTGCAAATACAGTTAATTGCAACATCTGCTACCGGGGCAGGGGAAGGAGGCGTCCATGCTGACAGCGGTAGACAAGAAATGCTTCAAAAAGATTTTGCGTCTGTAAGCGTTTCTTGACACCATCTGTATGCCAGGCCCTTTCCTGCCCATTAGCTCTCAGAATCTCGAAAGTCATTCTTTGAGGGAAGTATGCTGACAAGGGGTGCACTGAGGCTCAAGAGAAAGGGGCATGGCTGATCCAAAGTCACATCTGGGATGCCCATCCAGTTCTCCCCTGGAAGGTAGGCGAGTGGGGAAATGTGGGAGGAAGTCCAGCCTAGGGCTGAAGGAAGAACCCTGGGGTTCAAGATACAAAGGCTCAGGCCAGGGACCAGTGAGACAAATTGCTACAGAGCCCTGTTGGGAAGCTTCCAACACAAGGCTGGGGAGGTTGGGAGTGGGGATCAGGATGGCATGGAGATAGGTTTTTCCAGGTTTGTCCCTGTGGTCACCGTACATCCTCAAACAGGTCTTGACTCTGAGAGTCAAGACTTCAGGATGAATTTCTCATCCATCTATCAGCTCATTACAGACTTGATCTTGTGCCTATCACATGCAGGCAGTATTCGGGGGCCTGTGAAGGGGTGCCAAGCTGAGTGAGACTTGGGTACCACCCTCAACAGATGGACGTGTTCTTGGAGTCTGAGGGAGCTCTGGCACAGGGATGAGCATTTCCCTTTAGGCCCTGGGATGCAATTCCTTCCCCGACCAGTGAACAGAAGGACGACTCTTCTCTGAAGCAAAAGACCAGGAAATACGGTAACGTGAGAAGCCAGGACTGGTCCTAGGAGTGAATGGGCTAGAAAGGCACCAATGTGGGGGAATACTAACCTTGGGAGTCGGGTACATATGAGTATTCATCTCAACTTTGCTTCGCGACCTTGAGCAAGCACTGCACCTTTCTGCATCTCAATTTCCTTATTTGTGTGATGTGAATGGAGCTCCTGAGCACAGACATATTTAAGGACCAGCTCAGTACCTGGCTCATAAGGAGCAGTGGCAGCTCCCACCCGCCTACGTGATGGAGAGTCCGCCTGGAGCAACGCGCTCCAAAGGAATGCGGGCACGTGATAGGAAAGAATCACAAATCATTCAAGTTCATTAGCAGCCCGAGTGCAGAGAGATTTAAAATGATCACCCCGTTTCCTCTTAAAGACTACTGACATCTCATGGGAAATTTAGAAAGCAACTTATCCCACTCCACAAAATCCTATTTATAGAATTTCTTGTGTGTTCATCCCCCTCTATAGAGAAGAGATGCTTATTTGTTTTTGATTTTCTTCCTGGCGAAAGCTTACAAATGATCAATATGTGTTAGAAGATAGCAACAAACAAACAAAGCCCACCATGTAAACGTTTGGGGAGGGGGCAACAACTCCAGTTCCAAAGTTAAAGTGTCCAGTTCCACTGTTTTAAAGTATCACTGACACCTCGTGTGCAGCATGTCACTGTGCAGCACGTCACAAGATTGTGGGAAAGAGATCTAGCCGCGGAAAGGAAGATTTTTTTTTTTAAGTCACAGAGGAGTTACATGGCGGAGGGGGAGCAGGGCTCCTTATCCTTCTCTTCCAGAACATTCCACCGCCCTACACTGCCTCTCAGAAGACAAGCCCTCTCCCACCCCCGCAGCTCCCCATGATGGAGCATATTAATAACTCCTTACGAGAGAAAAAGATCCAAGGGGAAGAGGGAACGGAGAAAATAAAATGCTCCGATGGCGACAGAGACCTGGACTCAGGAGTCAGGATGAGCCGGGGTGGAGAACTCACCGTGGACGCGAGTCCACAGGAGGCTCAAGGCGCAGAGAAGCCGCCCCTGGTCCCTAGAAATGAACTCCGCGGTGGTTTAATCTCAGGCAGCAGTACTGCAAAAGCTGCGTGGGCCAGTGGTGTCACACTGTGGGCTTGGGAACATTTGGAAGATGTGTCCTCAGTGCATTGCATGCACAGGACGCCCTGAATTCATAATCAGTGGAAAGAGGGCAGCCAAGATGCAGTTCTCTCGAAGAAAGCCGTCGAGCTGAAGAATCCACCTGGCCATTTCTACTTCTCGGGGAAGAGAAGCCTCCACCCACACCCAGCGGTCCTCCAGGGGGTGAAGAAGGCAGAGGGCGGGAGGGAGAAGGTACAACGGACCACCGCATGCCTCCTGAGGAAATGACACGGAAGCTGGTGGAGGGAGAGGTAAGTCTAGACAGGAGAACGACAGTTCATCATTCCTCACTTCTTGGGAGAGAAGGAAAAATAGAATACGGCCAGACTGGCATTAGCATAATCCACTCCTAAAACTGCTGATCTATGCAGCACACATGAGAGATGGCCACGGAAAAGAAACGCCGTTGGAATGTTTATTGTTTTCTCCCCTCCAGTCTGCTTTGAGGAACTCGGGGAGGAAGAGCGGGTGTCGCGATGGAAGCCAAGTTCAACTTCGGCTGTTTGCGTGGGCGCCCCGAGAGAAGCTCGTCTATCTAGTCAGCGAGCTGTCTCTTATGCAGAGCCCCAGAGAAGGGCACTCGGTTCAATTGAACATATGGCATAAATAGTATTAATTCGTAACGAAGCAAGATTCCAACCAAAGTCGGGAGGAGAGAGAGGGCCGCAGCGAACAAGAGAAAGTGCTCGCTGGTAAATTTATCCAGTAAGGCTGAACATACTCCGAGACATCGAGAGGCAGGAAATATCATCTTTCTCCATTAAGTTGCTGTTGGGATCTCTCAGTTCATTTTAAAAGGGAAAACCCGTCACGGTTGTGCAGTATTTTCTCCATTTCTTCCCGCATCCTTAATTACTAAAGACATTTGCTGGGTGGGTGGGCGGGGAGGGAGATGAGGAGGGAGGCTCATTGTTGGGTCTGTCTGCTTGCCTCCCCCAAACCCACCTGACGACACCCTTTCCAGTCTCAGTGGTACTTGCCACCAGGCCCCAGATTGGGAACGACGGCGGTAGGACGTAATCGTCTCTAGCACCCCCCCCACCCCTGCCACCCCCAACAAATCAGTGTTTCATGCAAATGTCCTTAATTATAGAGAACAAAGGGATGGAAAAATCACACAGCCTATCACCTACAGACAGATTTGTAGCTATCTCTCTGACATTACTCTGGTCCAGCTGGCCTGCCTGTTAGGGCTCTATTTTACTGGAACATTCTCCATTCTGCTTCCTCTCTTCAGACTGCATTCAGATTGTGGTCCTTCTAGCACCCCCTCCTTCCCTCACCCCAGAGGCCGCAGCTAGGTTTTGAGTGAAGGCGTACAATGTGACCAGTGATTCTGCAAGTTAGGCGCTCAGAAAACCCCATGTAGGGTCACTGTGAGTCGGAACTGACCAGCTGGTGATGGGTTTTGTTTTGTTTTTATTTATAGGCATATATGGAGATGTTAGGTGCCACAACGGGTTAAGCATTAGATTGGATGGCTAACTGAAAGGTTGGCAGTTCCAGCTCCCAAGCTGCTCCCTGGGAGAAAGATGAGGCAGTTGGCTTCCTTCAAGATCTACAGCCTTGGGGATGCAATGGGGCAGTTTTACCTTCTCCTGATAGGTCCCTATGAGGCAGAATTGACTGGAGAGCCGTGGGACTGTTCTTCATGGAGGTTTCAGGAAGAGCAGGGCAGATCTCTTGGGGCCACGTGCCCTGCAGCACCCACGATATTGTCCACCTAAACCAACCCTTCCCTCCATTCTGTTTGGCCTCCTGTGGCTTCCTCGGCACTGTAGCGGACGCGGGGGG